AAGAGATACTGAACAGCTCTGTCTTGTCCCACACGCACACTTAAGTCATGACACAACAGGCTACGTCATTCCCATGAAAACCTGGTTAGGGAGTCGGGATGCAAGCTGGTCAGCTGAGCTTTCCTTGCTACTACAGCACTGCCTCCAAAGCTGATAGAACTTCTGAGCAAACAACTAAACTACACATAGATGCTCCATGCTTAAATATTGTAATAGTGTGGGTGAAAGTCTGCTGGGAAGATGTACAGATTTCTCTTTGCCTGGCCAGGACCGCTCTAATTTTCACTTCACTACAACCATCCTCCTAGGAACTTCTCTGCTACTGTGCAAGGTTGACTACAACAAGGTGCTGCTCACTCTTCATATATGCTGTGAGCATAGCTCCTGTATCAGAGGCTATGGAGGCTAGGAGACAGAATTTCTATAGCAGATACAGGCCACCCTGTAAATTCCCTTACAGCTGAGTGCCCTGACACAGTCCGATGGAAAACTGGCTCTATTACTTGGCCAGGGGGGGAAGCTTTAACATATGTAACAAACTCTTGGTCTGAAAATGCATACACACTGGCTCAGCGAGATTTAACTGGTCAGTGAGATGATGACTCGCAGCCGACCACCTCTGCCTAAAAATGAAATACGTACATACAGGTGGATGCTAGGGCCTGTTTGAGTGTGACAGCCAAGCTCCCTTGGCAAACCAGAGCTGACCCTCACACACACAGAAGAAGCAAGCAAGATTACAGGTGTCAGGCCTTGAGGCAGTACATAAACGACTCACACAGAGCTTTTTGTCGCGGGCCCTTCTTCCAGATGTGTATGGCACTGTATGAATCAGACACATACAAATGTATTTCCAGGTGTTGGACTACCTGATAACAGGATACATCTGACTACCTGCAGGCAGGCAGGCACTCACCACTCTAGAGCTGCTGCCACACATGCAGATGACTCAGAAAGGGACAGAGGTCCCAAAACTGGCACCACAAGCTATGAAACTCAAACTACAATCTCTCACAGATTTATCTCACCCACAGAGATTCTTGCGAGTCCAAGAACAAACTGCTGCTGGATCTTTTCGCACGGTCAAGATGTTCACAACATTACTCAATCTTTATGAATGCTTGGAAGAGGGTCAGAATGGCCACTGTGACTCAGACCGCAAGGCCATCTAGTCCAGTTGCCTGTCCCCAACCATACCTGGTAGCTTACGGATTCAGCAGAACAAGAGCAGGACGTGCACATACTCTTCCAACCAGCATCTGACCACATTCAGCTCAAGGGATTCCCTGTGGTTTGACTGTTTATTCATCCTCAGTGGATCTCCTTCACTTATTTGTTAAGTCTTCCCTTCAACACATATAAACTTTATGCATCCAGAAAACCCCTTAAAAAGGAAATCCACAGATCTGTGACTCATACCCTGAGGTCTCTCCTACTTCTGTTTGTTTTCAGTCTGGCTCCCAGCTTCATTTCATGGCCTCTAGTTTTTGTATTGGGACATACAGCCTAACCCTGCCCAGTCTCTCCCCCTATGTAATTTCTTCAGAATGAAGACCCCCAGCCTATTCACGCACTCCCCGTGTAAGAGCTGTTCCCTGTCTCTGATCATTCTCACCGTCTCCAAATTTTTCTTCCCCTTTTCTACTAGATACATTTGGAAACAAGGAGGCCAGTACTACGTATATATTCTTCAAGACACAGAGAAATTGTGGGCTGTGCAAGCCTGTCAGGGATGTTGGCTACATATGTCTTGGCAACATCCTTTAAAATCTGGATCATCATTACTACTGCTACATATAGCAAATCAGAAAAAGTGTAGTACTGGAACTCGTGCTACAAATGACCTTTTCATATACAGCACACACCTATACCTTGAACCCTCCTTTGGCTACCTGGGGGTCAGAGCATGCCCCCTGCCACAGGCTAGTGGTCAATCAGCTTGGTATATAACTGGATAATGGTTAGCATGAACCATTAGCTAAACTTAGCAAACAGTTCACACGGTCTGTCAGAATTTACTTTACAAATGGCTTGACATATGCTGACTGTATTGTCTGCAGATGCATAATTTCATTAGCTGCTACAGCGAAAAATACTAAACAAGTTAAGACCATGTAAAAAAAGGGAAGTTGGCTTTATGCATGAACAGTATATTTGAGATATATAAGCAGTACATAATCTGCACAAGTATGATGGGAATGCAGGTCACGTTAGAAAGGGGGAGGAGACACTGAATATTGTGATCGTTTTTCCTCTAATCATTTGTGACTTAACAGTGGCCACAGATTCTAAGGTGAACTATGAATTTTAGGAATACAGAACTAAAAAGAGAACATGGGTTACCCCAGTCTAGACCCTGCAATTGCAGGCAGACATGCAACAGAGATCTAGTCCAGAAAGGTTCCCAGAACTTCTGTAACACCTGTACACTAGAAAATGTCCCCTGTAAAGCAAAGCTAAAACTTACCCTAAAAATTAAAAGCCACCAATTATACTATACCACTGGATTACAGTAGGGAAGATGGTGGGCATTAAGACATTTTAGCAAGGAGGTGCATTCCACCTTTAAAGTAATAAATTTAGAGTAAATTAAAAGTTTTTCCCTTCCTTCTCCTTGCTTACACTTTTTGTACTCAAGCACCCCTACTCCCACTCTAAATCCTCTTGTGAGAGATGACTGGTGTTTGAAGTATTTTAAACAAATTCCAGGCTCTTCATCAGACTTGGTGTGTGCAGACTTTGCGGCTGCATGGTCCCCCATTTATGGCAGAGATTAAAATAACATTAAGAGAAAATATAATCAGGACTAGTTAATACTACAGAACAAAGTAGAGACCAGAAGAAATGACCTAATATTTGGCCTTCCTCTTTTCACCTATCAGGGGCATGCTTCTGACTATTCATTTCCTATCTTGCTAAAAACTTAAATGTAATTTTATTAAGCAGATACAAAAATGCCATCCCCATTTTCATTTGTTTGTAGTTTATAAATGAGACAGTTCAGTTTTAAATGTTAAGGGAATGTTTGGTTGCAAGTACTCTATCACCCAGAAAACATTTGCAAGCCATTAAGCGAAAATAAATACACAAACTGTTCACTTTGCAAAGAGATTTTTAGTGTAGAGAAAGAACGTTCATCATTACTGAAAAAAATATTTTTAGTTTTCAGATTTAACAATACATTTAGATTGACAAAGATGGTGAATAGTATGATTTAACTTTACCCTATTCCTTTTAAGGTCACACAGATAGGTTAAAGTGTGAACCCTAAGCTAAAGAGAAGTAATTCAGGGTAAGTACTGGGTTTTGTTGAAGTATCATTCCTGTCAAAAGGGAAAGGGGAAAAAAAAAAAAGGCCTCAGGTGGGCGTTGTCTAAAGACCAGCTGTACTGTACATCTTTCCTTTTAGGGTATAATACTATTTAACTTGACAGGAACTAACACAGATGTATTTTTAGCATGTTAAACTTCTGGATTACACACATAGTTAACATACATTTGTGGTTTGTAGCAGAACAAATCACACACATACTCTATCATAGGTCCACCCTGAAAAACCAAGTGAGGAGAAGGAAGTATAAAGTAACGAAGTGCTTCTATCGAAAGAAAAAGTGTATCCATGTGTGTATAACAAAAATTAAAGTTTCACACAAATGAGGTATTTTTCCCTGTTCAGTTACTAGGCATTTTGAGGACTTGAATATTTCTGAGTAAGAGAGTTTAGAAAAAATGAATTTATTTGTATAATGAAGTGCCAGTTGACTTAAAGCAGCAAAACTTTCTAATATAAACATGACCAACTATTAATTCAGGAAGTTAATAAAAGTAACAATTCACAAATTGATCCAAGCTTGCCTTAAAGGACTCCAATTCTTCCCTAAAAGGAAGTACTCCCTAATACTTTCACTTGTCCACATCAGTGAGCTCTAATGTAAACAGAAAAAGCCTTAATAGAAGTGTGCTATTAAAACAAATAGATCAGTATGGGTTAGTGATAGGATTCAATGTTCTAAACCTTGCATAGGAAAACGCCATATTGAAGATTACAGTATGTGAAAGTCTGTTTCCACTTATAGTAAATAAAAGTTCTCTCTTCTGTCTATGAAAAGAAAAAAAGTTTTGTTGCCAGGGATTTTATGACAAGTTGATACTAAACAAGTTGATACTGAATCATTCCTCAGAACTCCTTGCCTTTTTATTCAAGTGTAGAGCTAACTCAAACAACTCAGCTTCTCAACTGTTGGAAAAAATAGAGAACCCACGTAAATTTTCAACTGATTGAAGGCAAAGCTTGCAAAAATCAAGCACTCAAAAATTAAGATAAGGTTATCACGTTAGCCTGATGAACCATATAGAAAGATGTATTTCATCACAACAACTCAAAACCTGATCCAGGAATTCCTTTAAGTATTATGATGTATTTCTAACGCACATTAATTGTATCAGCTTGATAATATATTTACTATCGACTAGCAATACTTTGGTAAATTACTGAATAACATCATAGAGCTCAATCACTGCCAATATACAATAATACTGTGTATTGTGAAGGTGCATTTAAGACTGCTCAATACCTTTCCTTAACAAGTATACTTCTCGTTTCCCTACTCCCATACAGTTTGTACTGTGCTTCCGTTTTACAATACCTGTGACAGATTAAATGCAAGTTAAAAGCCTCTGCATATTATGTAGACTGATACTGAAATACCATTCCTTATCACACTTCGCCTACATTAAAATCACCCATCCTTACTACTGAGCAATCATGCTGCAAGAGCTTCAAAAGTAATTCTGGAATAGCCTCTATAGGGGTATTCTTCCGGACAAGAACTAACTAGAACTGTTCCTGTTTTAAGGCACGGGCAAGTAACAAGATCATTAAACTAAAAGAAACCTAGTGTTGTTAACCAATTCACTGCTCTTTGAAAACCCTGTCCCCTTTCTGTCACTTATCTGGCACGTTACTTGTTATCTTTGCTTCTCAGTGACTGAATACACAGCCTGTTATCTTTCAGGAATATGTCTGTGCTTCAAAAAGTGTATTTTTTACTTGGGTTGGCTAATCAGTGACCAAACTTAGAGTACAGAAGACAAGACAATGAACTAAGGGTCAAACTGAAGTCTGAACTCCACTTAAAACTTGTGAATTACTTCTTCTTTACTGCCAGCCTCAGTTAACAACACCCATTTTCCACACAGGCATAACTTGAATCCCTCAAAATTTTGGATTTCAGATGTGATTTCAGGATTTATCTAGGTAGGGGCAGTGTGGACTATGAAAAAGAGTACAACTTAAGTGGCAGCACTAATATAGTTCAGTGTAATGCAAGCATGTTAAATCTTCAGTGAATACCCATAAAACAGACTCAAGTACATGGGAACTACATCAAATTTTGAATGACTGCAGCCACACGGAGGTCTAGTTTCCCAAGTGTCTCCATGTGGATTAGTCCCCAAAGTTGCATCTTAGGCCCATGGTGCTAAAGCACGCCAGTTTACCTGGACATGGGGGTGGGTTTTAACCTGATCAGATTAACGCACTAAACACACCGGGCCCCCCCTACTAAGACCTTTCTAGATATATTAGCCAGCATCATCAGCTGCCAGCCTAGATGAGGCTTCAGGGGAGAAGAGGCAATGATAAAACAGCCCGTACTCTTGCAGCATTCTGAAGACATGCTGCCATTTTTAACATTTTTTTCTGGCTACTTTTGAGCAGCTCTGCTCCAGACAATCTGTTTTCAATCTCACCTTCATATACCAGACGTCCTCCACCAGCTACAAACACGCGCACACAACCCTGGGATGCAGAACCTGCTGTGAGGCACGGCGCACGTGGCTGAGGTCTGCCTGCGACCCAAAGCCTGCAATTGCCCAGGACGCGTTATTTCCCCTAACCAAGAGACCCTCGAGCAACGAGCATCCAAGAATGCCCGAGACGTTAAGGGGCAGAACAGCACTCTCCGTGCTAAGAGGTGCGAGTCTTGGACACGTCAGGCTGCTGGCTAGGCACTCGTAGTTTCAGTTTTGTGACTTTGGCATGCTGAAGCACACAAAACAGACCACGACAAGGATGCTTCTCAGCTGGACGTACACCCTACGCGGGAGCACAGAAAACGCCTGGGGATGGCGTTCACTCCGGACTACCCACTACATTCTCTTCACCCTCCGACTGCCTGTTGCATTGCCTCCACAGGCTGCGGGCATCGCGAAGAATCGGCAACAGTCACAGCCTGAGAAGGGAATTAACACGGCCCGATACCTGACTGAACGCAACCGGAACAATTAAGCTCCTCGGACCGACCTCTGACCGCGGAGCGGTCACACAAGCGGCGCGAAACCCAACAAGCACCGCCACGCACCAACCCAAAGCCAGGCAGCACCACGGCAAGAGGCGACGAGCCCCCCGGGCAGCCCCCAACCGCCTTTCCGACCCTCCGGCAGCCGGAGCGGGGCCCCGCGCCCCCCCGGCCCCAC